TTAATTTTGGGGAGGGCACGGAGAGGGTAAAAGTACAAAAAGTACATACATTTGCTACAAAATTGGCTGTAAAGCAGTGTAAAACAAAAGGAAACTGTGGTGATTGTGGGGGGGGGCAAATGCCCCTTTGGCCTCCCCCTGGATCCGCCACTGATATATCTACTCATACGACTGGTGTGCGGTGGTCCTATTCGTGTGGAAAATTACGAAATTGTGAGGTTTTATCACAACCGTGTAGGTACCAGATAATGCTCAAGTGGAGAAAAAGCCAAAAGGAATTATATTATTGTGAAACACGTTCACGAACCTCAGCAGCTACAACATTAGTCTTACAAACAATTTACGAATGAACAATATTCTTGTCGTGTTCGAACAACTTCTGCCCGAAAATTAGTCGCATGAACAACTGTCGCGGGAACTATTTTCGGCGAACAATTGACGCATATTCGATTCTAACAAAGGGAGTTTGGGGCTGGTCCACTTTCCTCCAAAAATAAGATATCTCAACTGACAATTTCCCCCCCGCGAAAAATACGTGGGATACCATATTTTCCCTATAGACATTTTTTTTTTTTACTAAAATTATTAAGTCCATTTTCCTCCTGCAAATAATAAAATATTTAGCCAATATTTTAGCCAGCACCAGTGTTGTAGTGTTGTGTAGGTACTGTATTAGTGTATAATAATACATTTATAAAGGGAGAGTAACTAGTCGATAATATCGTGACATTGTAAATTTGATTAAGCGTACGATTTACGTACCTTAGGACTTAGGTACATATTTTATATTATTCATAATTGTTAATAATTCAAAGGTACTTAGGTAGGTACATTTTTTTTTTATAATCACTTAAAAATATATTTATTATTATCGTCTTAATTCCTTATCAGCGGAAAATTAACAGTAGAGGAAAATGGTATAATTTCATTATTGAAGGAAATTGGAAATGGCTACGGACCACCGACTTTAAAATCGTCCGAGATCGATCGCAATCCTACACCGTTTCGCTGCCTCTACTATATTATTATGTCCGTTATAATAGTGTATTATAAAATAGATTTTTTTTTTTAATTTCAATCCGTAGTATGGAAATATTATAATTACCTACGCATTATAATGAACACAAGTCCCTTTTAGATTATATTGTAGCTTTATAGTTTTCTAAAACCGAACGCTAACAGACGAGTGGCAGCTGAGGGCGGCTGCTGTGACTCGCGTATAAACGTATAGGTATAATGTCAAAGGCGTATCGTCCGAGTTTAAACGTAATAAATCGCTTTAAAAAAAAACAACATAATATCGTGGTATACCTATCTGTACATTTTATAATGTCACAGCAATAATATAATATTCTGTTTATACTCCGTTATAACTAGCAGTTGAATAACGCCTACTTGTTTAACAAAATAACAAAATATGTTATCTTATATTTTGTAACAGCGCTAACCGGGGATTAGTCTCCAGACCTCATAATCTAAGACCGTGGGACTAGGACAAAAATCATCAGTGGCCCACTATAATATTATTATAGATATATTATATATAATATAACATTATATCATTACGTTAATGGCTGATATAACTTTATATTATATTATATCCGTAAATATTATTGTCGCAGACTAATGGTAGTAAATTATTAGTACCTACATAATAATATTATATTATAATACATAATATAATATAGGTAGGTAATATTATAATCATTAATTTTTATATACCTACCAACAATAGTTACTATATTGAGAGTAGATACACATTCGTATGAAATGACCATTTCTATGAAAACAATTTTAAACAACTAGGTACCTACCTATTACATTGATTATACATTGTATAATATGTATAGTATTATACTATGACGTATAATCAATGCTATTAAGAGGACGCTACACCCGCATGTGTTGTCTCCGTCTTACAAACGCGTAACATAGCAAATTACGTCCACGGAAAACAAACGAATCGGCATCAAAAAGTAGTTTTAGAGTAAAAATACCTATAATAAAACTTAAAGAGAACAATATTTTGGAGGGAACCTCATCGGCGTTTTTAAAAATATTAACTATTAAAAAAGTTGTGGTTATTTAAAAAAAAGAGTTTTTGTGCCTTCAATATCTAGCTGTGTATTTAGATTAATACAAAACCCCGATGAGATTCCCTCCGAAATATTGTTCTCTTTAAGTTTTATTATAGGTATTTTTACTCTAAAACCACTTTTTGATGCCGATTCGTTTGTTTTCCGTGGACGTAATTTGCTATGTTACGCGTTTGTAAGACGGAGACAACACATGCGGGTGTGACGTCCTCTTAAGAAATAAAAATTAATTGGTTTTTAAAAATTAATACTGGCAATTCTATATTTCTATGGGCTGCATCCGTAACAATTAGACACTAGACAGTGGATATTATAATATTATAGACATTTACATTTGAATATTATATGAAATTATTCATAAAATGTATAATACAATATTAATTATTATTGTTATTTAATGTCCAAAATAGTGTATGTACTCGGCATGAGCGATGAGCCATATAATGACCTCAGCAAAGTCCGTTGTCGTTGTTTGACTTTTTTATCGTTTCATCAATTTTTTTTAAACATTATTTTTTTCTTTACAAACAGACTTCGATGAACTCGAGTAGAGGTCGAAGTGATTAGATGATTAATAATAATATAGAACGCGAAGAAATAAATTCATCTCCGTTCGTTATATTATACGCGCGCGGGCGCGGCTACGCTTTTTATTACCTAACCATCAAGGCTTTTTATTAACCATTTTTATTTTGCATCAAGTATATTATATTATACCGGTGATTTGATATTATATTTATTATTTATATATATTAATATATCATATAACTGCGTTGAATATGTATACACTATACACATGTATGATATATAATTATAATTATAATATATAAATTATCTATGTACCTACTTATATGTGTTGAACGGACGAGTATGATTTCGAGAAGTTATCGATAAATGATAATATTGAATTGCAGCAGTGATGTATTATTTTTCATAATATTATACGCCGGTTGCCAGCAATCGTTGGACTTCGGACGTATTTTAATTTACAATAAATATTTATAATCATAATATATTATAGCAGCTGCGGCGTACCTATAAAAATGAATGATAAGAAATAACATTTAAAAATTAAAATAAATCTTCAAGGCGTTTTATAAAAAACTTACAAAAACTATTACGAACTATTTTTCGCTATTGATCATACCTATGATGATACCTTCCTAACTATATTAAAAAATAGGTATATATTTTATTTTAATATGTAACATCATTTTTATTTCACTGGTACCTACCTACTTTGGTACTTATAATTATATTCATTTGAGTACCTAGGTAATAATTATAGTATAGATCATAGTAAAAAGTTGGCTTTTTAAATAATATTATAGTACTAGATAGTGATAGGTTGTTGATGATTTTTGAATTTTTGAATCCTATACAATAGGATTGTACTATCCTCACTATTTTTTACAGACATACGCTTACCAAATATTATAATTAAACACAGTATCTTGCAAATCCAATAATAAATTAATTTTTAATAATTTTGAAAAGGTAATTTGTAATTTTAATTTTGTCTTTAGGTCGTTGAAGTATTTTTTTTTTTTTTTTGGTCATTTTTGATACTTTTTAAGTCATCGGCAGGCTAAACATAATCTCTTAGTATTACATCAAGGGAGCGTTACCAAATATATATTGATTATTAAGCTCAATTTAAACCACAAGTACTCCTATAACATTAAAAAAAATGTGTATTCAAATTAAACAGCTTAAAAACGAGTGCTCATAATTAATTAATTAAAATAGCTCACCTATTAAAAATAGTATAAAATAGCCCACTTTTTAAATTACCAATAGCATTAGGTTTTTATAAATTTATAATAAATGCTCAATGGTAACAGATTAAAGGTTTAGGTACAAAAGTTTTGAAAAATAGTTTTTCAAATATTTACATGGCAAACAAATCATAAGCAAATATAAATTATAATAGTTATAATAGTATTGAGTAGGTATTGTATTTATTTATTTATTTATTTATTTACAATATAATTAAGATATTCCTAGCTAGGTTGCTATCTAAGTCTATTGATGTGTATATACATTTTTTTTTAATATACATAATTACGATATATTAATGAGTAGGTATTGTAAAACATACGTAAATATATAATATTAATTTTTAAATTTGTAGCTATTTGAGTATTGTAAAAAATGTAAAGAGACTATACTATGTCTATATTATTATATATTTTATACATGAGTAATTATATGTATCCTTATCACAATTTAAAAGTCATAGGGGAATCAAGATTTAGGATTGAATACAAATTTTAAAGTAAATAAATTGAAAATATTGCAGTATTTGAAGAATCGGTGCAATAATGTGTATATTATAAAATTATATTGAATATGTTAATAACAAGGGCGCTCATCAATCAGAACTTATGGGGATGACAATATCAAAAAAATATAACTAAGAACCAAACATATTGATTTTATTAAAAAAACAGAAAATAAATACATAACATAGATAAACAATGTAGGTACCTATGTATTATATCATGTATTGATAATACAAAAATGTCATATGTGTGGCGGACCAATGCCACATGACCTCCCTCCGCCGTCGGTAGTACCGTATATCTTTGATTTTGTTCAACGGTTGGTCACATTGCGATCGCGTCTAGCGGCGGCCTCCGCTTGGTTGCGGCGGCCGACCTGTCCCTCTCTCGTTCTTACCGTTGCGCCGTACGCACGCCCGTAAGATTTAATAAAAAAGTAATAAAATAAACCACGCGCTCTTTTTTCGCCGCTCGCGTAGCTCGTTCGTTTTTTCTTCCGAAAACACCGCACGAAAACGCACGTGACCAGCCGCTCACCTCCGAGTACCGATCGACTCGATCTGCTCGCCTTTTGTTAAATTTAATTATTCTTTTTGTAATAAACCGCGCATCGCGCACCTTACACGTTAAACGCGTTCTCGTTTATTTTTTGATCGTTGGTGTTCGATCGTGATAACGACACGAACGCCACATTGGTGACCTCTTCAAGTGCAAAGTTTTCCTTTGCGTACACGCACGAATTCGTAACCGCCGTTTCCGCGCTGAGTGTTTCCGCACGTTTTCGCAATACACGCGTCATCGTAGTGCACGTACCCGTCGTACGAGGGTGATCTTGTTCCGTGTTAACCGTCATGGCCGCCGAAGGAAACGCGCTTAATATCCAGAACGTCGCCGGCAACCTGAACCAAGGCGTTGAGGCCATTGCAAACATGCGGCTTCCGGCATTTTGGAAGCGCTCTCCGACACTTTGGTTCAACTACGCGGAATCTACGTTCGTAACACATCGCGTCACTGCCAACGCGACTAAAGTACATTTCGTCGTCAGCGCTCTAGACGAAGAGGCAGTACGCAACATCGGCGACCTCCTGAACACAGCCGCTCCCTACTCCGACATCCGTACGCGTCTCATCAGCGCCTATGAGGTGCCCAGAGCGCTGCTTTTCCGCGAGATCGTCAAGCCCGGAGGTTTGGGTGACCGCCGACCGTCGCAGCTGCTTCGCGACATGCGTAACAGTATGCCACCTGGCATAGGCGAAGACGCATTGAAAGAATTCTGGCTTCAGAAACTCCCGTCGAACGTGACCGCCATACTCGTCAGCCTCGACGCATCGTTGGACGAACTGGCTGCGCGCGCCGATCGTATTTTGGACGTGTCCAACCCGCAGAGCGTCGATGTTTTGTCCAAGGGGCAATTTAGCGAACTGGCCGACGCAGTATCAGTGTTGTCACAGCAGGTCAAGTCCCTCACTCAAATCGTCAACTCCACGGAAAAACCCTCGCGATCTCGATCTCGGGCACCCACGCGCTCGGACGCGCAACAACCGGGGAAAATGTGTTTCTACCACACCAGGTTCGGCAAAAGGGCGCGCGCTTGTCAATCGCCGTGCAGTTTCGAACAGGAGTCGCGGGAAAATCCCGCGTCCGCGCCCGCGGAAAACTGAGGAGCGCGCACAGGCCACCCGCCCTGTACGTCGTCAGTAATTCTACGCGGGTACACATCAACGATCAACGTTCCGGCAAGCTGTTCCTCATTGACACGGGCGCTGAAATTTCGGTCATACCGTATAGCTACGGCTCACACCAGCCGTCCGACTTACACCTCACAGCCGCCAACGGAACACGCATCAAAACGTTCGGGCCCAAAACACTTGTGCTCGACCTCGGACTTTCGCGTCCTTTCACATGGACCTTTGAGATGGCTGATGTCTCACGCTCCATCATCGGTGCCGATTTCCTACGCTATTTTGGCCTCCTCGTCGACGTCCGGCAACAACGCCTCGTCGATCCTGCCGACAAGCGAACAGCCACCTGTGCAGTGACAGCCGCACCGTCGGCACACACCACCTTGCTCACCGTCGCTCGCTCTCCGGATTGGGATAGATTACTTCAGGACTTTCCAAGCGTGACCCGTGAGTCACCCGTACCTGAATCATTCCGACACGGGGTAGAACATGTCATCGAAACCAGAGGACCGCCCCTTTTCGCGCGTCCGCGGCGGCTGCCTCCCGATCGGCTCGACATCGCGCGCCGTGACTTCGAGCTGATGCAAAAACAGGGGATTTGCCGACCTTCATCTAGCGCGTGGGCCAGCCCTCTGTTATTGGTGCCTAAGAAGGACGGGTCTTTCCGCCCATGCGGCGATTACCGCCGGCTGAACAGCGTCACCGTTCCAGACCGGTACCCGCTTCCCTACCTGCAGGACTTCACCGCCAACCTTGCAAAAAAAACGGTCTTCACTAAGCTCGATCTGGTCCGCGCCTACAACCAAGTCCCGATCGCCGCTGGCGACATCCACAAAACCGCTGTGACAACACCGTTCGGCCTTTTCGAGTTTCCAGTAATGTGTTTCGGCCTGTGTAACGCCGCACAAACCTTCCAAAGACTGGTCAACACTGTTCTCGCCGGCCTCGATTTTGTTTTCGCTTACGTCGACGACGTCCTCATCGCCTCCGCGAACGCCGACCAACACGTCGAACATGTCCGCACCGTACTCGGCCGTTTCGAGGAGTTCGGGATAGCCATCAATCCGGCGAAGTGCGTTTTCGCCGCGAAAACGCTCACCTTTCTCGGACATGTAGTCGATGCGCAGGGCTTGCGCCCTAACCCGGACAGCGTCGACGTTATACGACGGTGGCCGCAACCGAACACCAAAAAAGAACTACAACGTTTTCTCGGATCATTGAATTTTTACCACCGATTCGTCCGAGGCGCCGCCAACGTTCAAGCACCACTGTACGATATTTCCGCGGCAATTAAAAAAAAGGACGGCCCACTCGCATGGACTGACGCCGCCCGGAAGGCGTTCGCGGCCTGCCGAGAGGCACTCGTTACCTCCGCGCTTTTGGTACACCCGCAGCGCGACGCACCGTTGCGCCTCACCACAGACGCTTCCAATATCGCGGTCGGGGCAGTCCTGGAGCAGTCCGTCGGTAACAGATGGCAACCACTCGGTTTTTTTTCACGTAAACTCTCCGGCGCGCAGACACGGTACAGTGCGTACGACCGCGAGCTGCTCGCAGCCTACCTAGCCGCACGACATTTCGTACACGCGATCGAGGGCAGATTCGTCACGCTCCGTACGGATCACCGCCCACTACTGTTCATGTTTTCGCAAAAGGCCGAGAAACTCATCGACCGTCAAGCGCGGCACGTCGCGTTCCTATCACAATACTTCCACGAGGTCGAACACGTCAGCGGCGAACTCAACATCGTCCCCGACGCACTGTCGCGCCTGGAGTTGGCTCCCCTCGATAACGGGCTACCTGACCTGGACCAATGGGCAGCGGACCAAGCCAACGACACCGACCTACAGGACATCCTTGCGGGCAGGACGGAGTCGTCACTTGAATTGGACGCACGGCAGACAGCAAACGGACCGGTCTACTTCGACATAGCCTATAACAGGTCAAGACTTTTCGTTCCGCTTCGACAGCGTCGCGCGGTTTTCAACACCTTACACCGACAGGCGCACGGTGGTGGTTCGGCCACAACTGCGCTAATATCGCGACGTTTCGTGTGGCCTGGTATGAACCGAGAAATACGGCGTTGGGTCAAGACATGCGAGCAGTGCCAGAAATCAAAGGTACATAAACACACCGCGACACCGCTGGCTGCGTTCACGGCCCCGGACCGACGTTTCGGCCACATACATTTGGACCTGGTCGGCCCACTGCCCGTTTCGGACGGCGCCAGGTACCTCCTCACCTGCGTCGACAGATTTACGCGTTGGCCCGAAGCTTGGCCCGTCGACAGCATGTCCGCTCACACCGTCGCGTCTACACTAGTAACGAATTGGATCGCCCGTTTCGGGGTACCAGACGTCATCACCACAGATCAAGGGCGACAGTTCGAGTCTGACCTAATGCGCGCGCTCAACTCAACTTTCGGGATCCAGCATGTTCGCACGTCCCCCTACCACCCGCAGGCTAACGGGCTTGTAGAACGTTTTCACAGAACGCTTAAGGCAGCGCTCACTGCGCAAGAGTCACCGCACTGGTCCCAGCGACTGCCAATCGTCCTCTTGGCCTTGCGCAACACAGTCAAACCGGACACCGGCGCAACACCTGCCGAACTCGTTTATGGGGCGACCCTTCGCCTTCCTGGTGAGTTGTTCCACTCCGCGCCCTCAGAGATGAAATCGCCGGACTTCGTCACGGCACTTAAGCTGTCCATGGCCGAGCTTCGACCGTCGCCCGGATCTAATCACGACCCGGCCCGACGTATTTTCGTTCCTACGCAGCTCGACTCCGTCAGCCATGTTTTCGTCCGCGTCGACGCGCAGCGCGCTCCGCTTCAACCGCGTTACGAGGGGCCCTACGCCGTACTGGATCGAAGAGAAAAGGACTTCAAGCTTCAGCTGGGCAACCGGACGTCGTGGGTGTCAGTAGACCGGCTCAAACCTGCCTTCGTCCTCCGCGAGGACCCAGCCCTGGACCACTCGTATGCCATGCAGTCCATGTCCGTACATAGATTTCCGACATCGAAAACACCTACGGTATTTTCTCCTTCGTCGGGGGGGAGTGATGTGGCGGACCAATGCCACATGACCTCCCTCCGCCGTCGGTAGTACCGTATATCTTTGATTTTGTTCAACGGTTGGTCACATTGCGATCGCGTCTAGCGGCGGCCTCCGCTTGGTTGCGGCGGCCGACCTGTCCCTCTCTCGTTCTTACCGTTGCGCCGTACGCACGCCCGTAAGATTTAATAAAAAAGTAATAAAATAAACCACGCGCTCTTTTTTCGCCGCTCGCGTAGCTCGTTCGTTTTTTCTTCCGAAAACACCGCACGAAAACGCACGTGACCAGCCGCTCACCTCCGAGTACCGATCGACTCGATCTGCTCGCCTTTTGTTAAATTTAATTATTCTTTTTGTAATAAACCGCGCATCGCGCACCTTACACGTTAAACGCGTTCTCGTTTATTTTTTGATCGTTGGTGTTCGATCGTGATAACGACACGAACGCCACATATGCATAAATAAATTAATGCCATGTATTATAATATCATCAGTAAAAATATTTTATTATTTACAATTACCAACATTTACAATCATTTAACATTTGTCTAGGCGGGAGACATGTCACCTAATGGGCACCCTTGGTTAATAACTTATCATGTTAATATTATTTTTCATTCATATTTTATTATGTTAGACTTCTTAACATGGAACTCCTCAGCTCACAATAAACCAATGATCAACTATGACTATTTATTTATAATCTAATATTCTAATGATATTTAAAATATTCATAATAAGTACTAAGTAGGTTAGGTATCATGATAGTTAACATTATAGTTGATTAACAACAACCTACACTAAAATGTAATGATTTTAATCAATGCAGATAATTTAACTGATTAAATTTATTAATTATTGATTGTATATTTAATATTTATGAATTATGACTTATGATTGATTTTGACAAGCTATCTTCCCATAAGGATTCAGAGGTTATAATCTGTCATTAGGACAGTCTATTATTAACAATTTTTAGTTATTAATGCCTACTGCTTAATATTATTTAAAATATGTAGTGACTTCTACATAATCTACATATTAGATAACTTAGTGTAAAGCGCCACTGACATAATGTTTATAAAAAAATTCATCACTTTTTGTAAACACAAACATTCTTTAATATTAATTATACGATGATAACAATTATTTTATTTTATCTGTCTACTTTCAATTTGAACACTAAATATTAAAATCAACAATTTAACTCAATTAATAATTATCTACCTATAATATTGTGTATACAAATTTTTACCAACTGCAAACTATAATAATTTTTACTGACATTTGAATAAAAAAATAACTACATACTATTTTTCAAAATTGTACTAAGATTTGAGTGTACATTTCACAATACATTTTATAACAAGTTATATAATTGATTACTAGCTAGGTACAGTGACTTCTTTCAGTTTCCAATAAAGGCCTCATATAGGTAACCTAAAAAATTACTTTCATATTATAGGAGTAACAATAGACACTATGTAAATAATAATAGTTATATCAATATTTTTTCCATACTTTTTCAATTCTAATACTTATTTTTTTTTGTAATAAGTGTGGTAATAATTTTCACTACTACTAAATATTAATAAAATGGATTTTCGAAAAAAAAACCAAAATACACAGTTTTCTCATTAAAAAATTTATATTTATTATAAATATTATAAATATATAATAATTATGATAGTTTGACATTATTGATGTGTACAAAATATGTTTATAGTATTCATAGTTTTGAAGCATTTAAACACATTTTGTTTTATATTGAACAGTTATAGATTTCATAATTATTTAATCACCCATTGTTGAAATTGTTTACGACTAACTGCAATATTGCTAAAAATTTCAACTTAAATCAAAAAATTTGTGAGATTTTCAACAAGTGTATAATTTAATACTTCATATTATTTAAAGAAACGCATAAAAACATGTAGTTGTAAATTTGAATTTATTGTTTTTTTTCTCATGTGATACACTAAGATTCAACTGTGGATTTTTTCAACTTATTTAATTATAATATGCAATTTTTTTTTTTTATCTTGCAACACTTTATTTTATTGAAAAACATATCTAGTATCTGTATATATAGTTTAATTTAATAATGCGCAGCTCAAAATAAATAATGAGGTATTAGTTAATGTGCACAATTGATAATTGTAAAAAATGGATTAAAATTATTTAATTGTTATCATTAAAACAGTTGACTTTAAGTATTAATAACTTACATGTTACTAGTAAATAACTATTTATTAATTATACTTAAAATACTAACAGTGGGTTACTCAAATAGTCATTGCATTTACACTGACACCACACTGTATAAAAATATTAAAATTAATTATTGCGTTTTCATACAAATGCGATTAGCAAAAATTAAATTTACCATAAAAAATTTAAAAAAAAATCACACAATCGTCAAAAAGTAATTAATATTATTGATACTTGGTAAATATTTACATATCGCAAATTAATGATCTTATATAATATTTGCTTAAACATAAATGTGTTGGACACCGCTATTAAAATAATAAAAATTAATTTATAATATATACCATTTATTTTTATAATTATTTTTCTAGCTTACAACAATTGAAAAACCAAATGTCGACACACTAAAATATACATTATTACTATAAGAGTATTCTTCTTCATCATAAATACAGGCTAAAAAATCATCTACCGGCGGGCTGTTAACGAAATACATTTTATACTAAAATTTTTAATAATACAAAGTATTGGACTATGTTGTAAAAAATTATTAGAATAATATAACTCAGGAAAACATAAATACAAATTAACCAAAAATAAAAAATAAATCACGGTCTCTTATAAATCATGAATAAGAAATAATAATTGTAAGTCTTGTTAGTAAAATCTGAGTCAAATAATTTGTATTGGTTTGGAAAATTTGATAAAAATAAAAACAGTATATTATATAATAATAATGCATTTACAACATTTACAGTCCAACAGTATTACTACACTCGTAATATTTCCAAAGACTTGTTGTAACAAATGGCGATCCAGTCTGGTTGAGTGGCACCCCATTGAATTTGATTGATTTCACCTTCTGCAGCGGTATATGCTAGGATTGGATCTTCAATGGCCCTAGGCATTTGTTGGATATCCCATATAAGGGCCTGGTGATCATCACCTGAATAAAAAGTAGTGGTTATGGTTTGTCATATCAAAATAAAGAAACATAATATTGTAACTATATACATACCAGCAGTGCATATATGGCAAGATGAATGTGGAGCCCATGCAATTCCATTAACACATGCCCTATGATTGTTTAATCTAGCCACAGGTGTACAAGGCACTCTAACATCCAATATAATAACCTTTGGACAAAAAATTCAAATTTAATAAATAAACGAGTAAATAAAATAACAATTATTTACTTCGCATGCATCCATAGCAACTGTAGCAAGATAATTGGGATCTTGCTTGTTCCATGCGAGCCTAAGTAATGGAGAGTGCTGAGGATCTTCATAAATTATTGTAGAATGTTCCAAATGCCGCAGATCAAACATTCTAACTGAACCATCAGCCCCTGCAATAAAAAAAAAATTAGGTTATAGAAAGTTATAAATAAATTTGAATTTTGTGTTTTCATACCAACTGAAGCAAACATATCACGGCCACCTCCAGCACGACTAAATGCTATATCATAAACTTCTTTATCGTGGGCAATAAGTTGAGTCTTCACATGCCCGGCAACAGAATTAATTCGTCCAACAATCTAAGAATTTATTTTTAAAAAATGATCAATATAATATTAAATTATTTTTACCAATTAAATATTGTTGATCAAATTACCTGAGTTGTTTCAAGACCCCAAATTGTACATGTGGTATCTATACTTGATGTACCAATTAAGTTTGGATCAACTTCATTCCAGTCAAATGATGTTAATGGAGCACAAAAGTCTGAGTTCTTGTTCTAATAACATTATAAAATAAGAATTATTGAAATACTAAAATTTACAAAATTAGAAAACCTATATTCTATTTTTTAAATTAAAATTAAAATGTATCAAACTAAACTTTAACATTAGAATTAAGTAATGAAAAAAATATTCACTGAGGAAATTATTTAAATACCCACATTGTTAAGAATGCATTCCAGTCTGGTTTCTGGTTCACCTGCTCTCCAGATTCGTAAATAATCCCCACTTGTAGCTAATAAATCGGGAAATACTCCTTTCTATAATGCAAACAAAGTTTGGTATGAAACTTATCAATAACTATCAAAAATTAATAACATCTATGGTACAATACACAACACATACACTATCAGGAATCCACATAATTTTGGTCGTTGGATACGGATGATCAAATGTGCTCTTAGGACTGAACTCCGATACTTCTTCGTCTAATGACACAATTTGTACTTTGTTATTGTATTCCTCTACAAAGCTCCCAATCGCCAGGCTACAAAATATAAACAAATATTAAATAGGTTAATAAACAGTTGTCGGCTAATGTATTAATCCTTACCGAAATCGTTTATCGGGCCGCACAGACCAGTTCATACTGTACAGCGGCCATGGCGCCTCATGTTTGTAAATTTCTTTACGCTTGGGTGTTGACCCGTGAACTGCCATTTTGAATACAATCGATTGTCCACGACAAAATTTATATTATTTATAGAGATACACACCTAATGACATAATATTATTAAATTAATATAGAATAATAGTTGAACGGCATAGAATACAGTGGGATAGTTTTGTAAAACCCTGGACAACATTTTGATGACTTTTTAATGAATTTTAAATTACTAAAATGTTTGAAGGTAGACAATAGTATATTATCTAAAGCAATACCTAACTATTTTTTATTACCCAACATATTGTAAACAAGCTTTACATATTATATAGTTTTGCTCAGATGTGATACCTATAAAATATTTTTTTCCAAATATTTTTCTCTTACTACTCCAGGTAGGTACTTTTACTATTTTGTACATAAAAAAAAAAAAACAGTATTGATGACAATCTTTTTATATAGGTACAAAGAAAGAACCTAAACACGTTACTTCTAAAGCAACGAAAGTGTGAAGTTGCTTCCGTTAATAAAAACCTCCACCACAAGCTTTTAGCTTATTGAGAGGGTTTCAAACATATATATATATATATATATATATTCGTATTATTTAAATAATTTAATTTTGTTTTTATTGTAATCGATATATTAAATACTGTAAGATATTATGTTGTATGTACGAAAAGAAATTATTTGAAAATGTAATAAATACCTATAATATGGGTATTATAACGGTAAATAACATCAGTCCCGCATAACCTAAAGATATCTCGTATATTTTAGTTTCCCTATAACAGAAAAATCAATTGGTACCAAGCGATTCCGTTATAAGGTTTTGCTGTATATTTGCTTTAAATAAAAACTATAGTACCTAAACCAAACTTAAACAAGGTATGATCAGAACTTCGTTTTGATCAGATTCTTTTGTTAGGCACATAACGTAGAGTATAGTGATATTATATGACAGACAATATGAAAATATGGCTACCTAAGTGACTTGTTGTACAGACTTAAACCAAATCCAGACCTTTGCAATCGGACCATGTTTTTTAAACCACGATCAAAATACTAACAAAACATTCTAGTTCACAGTTTTGCCGACGTATTAGTTGTGGTACTATGACGACCGAAGCAATAACATTATAGACGTATAATAAACGGTCGTAAAATTTAAAAAATGTATACATTTCTTAAATGTTGTTCAAATTTTCTAGGAAACACTGTGAAGCAGGTGCATACGTACTGTTGGACGGGCATCTCGAAAGTAAGATCATCATAATATTATTATTGTCAAAATATGAAACTTGAATACAAAAACCCCTCCAAACATAAACGAAAAACTTCAGAGACTTGAGAGCGCTGGCCGAGTTTACTTACCTACAGGTGTAGTGTGACGTCCACTGGCTCCGCTTCACACGCAGTTCCTCCGGTCGCGGTGGGTGCTCAATGCCGGTCAGGTGTCCGTCGTCCGCCGTGATGCATGGCGTGCAAGTCCGTTATCGCTACCTACCGTCGGCGACTCGGTGTTCGCATATCGTGCTCACGGCCAAGAGAACCGGTGCGCGGGTGTTCGGTTCGCACGGTCGTCCCCACTGGCGTTCGTCGGCCGTCGGCGTACGTTATATTACCGCTTTGCGACGCGCGAGTGTTTCGATATTTTATCGCTTTGAACACCACTGTCGACGGTAGCGTCGGGAGACGCCGCGTTTTACTGATAACCGAGAAGTGGTTCGGGGTGGGTGGTCGGACGGTCGAGGTAGCGGCGGGGTGGGGACGGTAGCGGCGGCGTCAGCGGCGTTGGTGACGAACAAAACGAAAAATAATTATTGTTTGTATCGCGCAAACCGACGACGGTGGTGGGGAAAATGGATGGAAAAAACAAAAAAAAAAGACGGAATCTCGGACCGCGCTAGATAGGTAAAATATTATCGTAATAACAACAACGATTTTTATTATTATTATTATTATTAATGATAAATGATATTGGAAACGTAAACAAACGCTCCGATAAGCTATAGTGGTGGCCGCGGCAGCTGCTGCTTAATCTGGTCAGCGGTGGCGGGTCGGTGCGGGGCTATAATAGTTCGCTGCTATAATATTATTGTCACGTTTTGGAGGCAAGAGACGGCGGCGGCTGACTGTGGCTGATGTGTCGGTTGCGGAACGCGGTGGAGGTGGCTCGGTATCGATTATCGACCGGTCGGCGAGTGCGCACCTGCGCGGTCTAAACTAAACATGCATTTTATTACCACGGCTAAATAAATTAATAAATTAATAAATTGATATGTATTATAATTAAACACCGGATTTATATGCATTTTTATTGTTAAATAAGCATGCAAACATGCACTAAAAAATTTCATAAATATGCAAGAAAAAATGTTATTTATTGTACTATTGCACTCGTTTTCAGAACATTCCACTTGTTCCAAAACGTTTAACGTGTCTACAAATGTCAAATTAGAGGTTTCAAGTTTTTTTTTGATACTTTCAATGATACCTAGGAACATGAAAAATTTGCTTTAATGTAAGGAAGAACATAATATGAATATCATACTATAATTCACCTACCTATGGAAGTTTACTAACCTATTTTTAGCGTCCGAATATTTTTTGAAATGTAAGATATTTGGTACCTCTATAAACGTATCTACCTAAACGCTTCTTTTTTGCTTTACACCTTTTTGGATCTTTAGGCCCTTATGTGTATATTTGTACACTTTTTGTTAAAATAAGTATAAAAAATAAGCAGTACGCCAGTACCTATAACCTTTTGATATTAATTAATCAACCAAGTAATGATTTATGGACACTCTTTGACTGCATGTATATTATGATGTTGAAAATGGCAACATGCATTTTATGTAAAACCTGTCTTTAAATTTTAATTATAATCTATGTCTTAAATATTAATGTATAGCCGTATAGGTATTTATTTATTTAGTCTTCTTTATTGAAACTCGTCAAAATAATTACTATAGACGCTTAAATTGATCACCTAGTATATTATATTATAAATTATAATATAATAATAAACGTAAAAGTTTAAAAATGCCCACGAAAAATATTTTTTAATTACAATTAAAATTAAACCATTAGATAATACTAAGTCTTATTCAGTTCAATAAGTATCTAATTTCATTCAAATTTTAACTTCAAATTCGTATAAAAAAAAATCATGTCCACATTTTTTTAGATTTTTTGATTTCTGTATAAACTACTTATGAGGTAGAGGAACCTTGTATTTATTTCAAGTCATTAAGATATATATTTTTAAGTACGATTTTTTTTTGAAACTTTTCGTTATTTTGATGAATTTTGTCAAAATTTGAACTTGAAAGTGGAAATGTTCTTATAAATAACCATGCCTGTGTAAATTACATATTTTAAATAGCCAATATCTATAAATGTATAATAACTAAATAACTTATAGGATGGAACTTATTGTATTAAATTTTCAAGCTTTTATCGAGTGAAACTTTTTTATGAAGAGTTATTCAAAATCTAAATACATTTGTAATATGTTACCAGCTGTTACAGTGTTGGTAAAACTAAAATAAATCGTAAAACGGAGTGTTACAACAGATGATTAGCTTTGTTTTAGTAAAATTTCAAATTACTCTATAACACTATAATACTTTGTTAATTCTGTAATTAAGAAAAAAACTATTTATACAAACGTTGTTTTAAAATAATATAGTACCTACCTATATCTGAATCTATAAATATTTATTTTAAAAAGTCAGTTGTATTTCGTGTATCGAAAGTGTATAAAATTTTCTCGAAATGTGTACATATTGATACTCTCTTTAATGGTTACAATATTATTGATTATCTATTTAAGTATCATTATTGTCACAATTAATGGTGGCCGGGTCCCTACGCCCCTGTACAGTTTTAGTTTCCTTTTTGAACTTTTGAAGTAAAAATCTAATAAGTACTATAGCCTTAGGGCCAGTTGTACCGTCTATGATTATGGTTAATCAGAGTTTAATCGGCCGAATTAGCCCGTTTAAATATCTGTTATCAGCTGATTAAGCTTAATCATAGACCGTACAACTGGCCCTTAAGGCTTTATTGTTTCTAATGCTTGTACACTTATATAGTTATATAATTATTGTATACGTCTATATATTTAATTAATTTACCATATCTATGTCAATGAATTGAATGCACGATTGGTCAGAACTGGAGAATAGAGATATAATATTTATTATTATTATTATTATTAAGAAAATTAGTAGGTACCTATTTACAAATTTATAATTTGTACAAGTTATCAAAAACCACAAGTAATATTAAATTAATGTGGCTCCAAATTCATGAATTTATAGGCGGTTGTAGGATTTTGTGTCTCGGGTGCAGGCGTGCAGCATACATTTTTAACAGAAAAATAATAATTAGTCCATTTATTTTCCTCATAACGGTTATAACTTATAAGAAATAGTACCTACCTATTTCATTGGAATAGCATTGAATATGTATTTTATAATTTCATTTTTAATTCAATATTTTAAAAATTAATCATTCTATTATGTATACCTTTCAAATAAATATCCATAGCCCACTAAATCCAAAATTATTTTTCAGGTGCAGCGAAAGCAGCATAAGCTGCACTTGTGCTCACGTCAATAGCTCTAATAACGTTACTCCAACTATGGAGATATCAGATATAGGGCCTAGTACAGAAGTACCATATTAACACTAGATACCTATACTGCTATTGCTATACCTAAACATTATAATTATAATTATCAGTGGCGGATCTATGGGGGGGGGGGTGACGTGGCTATCCCCCCCCCCTTGGGCTTTTTTTTTTATTACAGATTTATTTAATATTTTCGATTTATAGATTTACACATTACACAATAAATTTTTATAAATAAATAATTACTAATTATTATTTTCTTTTTTTCTCTTTATGTTTCATGATAACAATGATAACAATGTTATCAGACAGTGACATATTTATTTATACCATAGATTTATATTATTAATAATATATATCTATGATTTATACATAGAAATTATCTGTGATAGTGTGATTATTTTTCTCACT